TGATACTGACGAGCATCTGATATTTGTATAGTCATGTCATTTTCTGTACGCCATTCATTTGTCTGAGGTGTGTTGTATGAATTGTTCTTTGTGTTGTGTTCCTCCAGCTTTCAGTGCCTGACAAAGTGCTGATTCCTGAGCGCTATGTGGAGTTAGACCCCGAGGAGCCTCTGAGCCCGGAGCAGGAAGCTGATAAGCAGAGGAAAGTTGATCGCATCAAAGCCCTCATAGCCAAAAACAGGTAAAGCCATCATCATGATCTGTCTGAGCTGATCACTTTTTACAAGCAAGGACCGGGCCTCTCAGAGCTTTGATGTTAACATTATAACATGTTAAGGATATTTGGACAAAGGACTCACTTTGCAGATGGGCACTGATATTTCCCAGCTGAGGTCAGGCATGAAATCCCTTTTTTAGAAGTGAGGGGTAAGTTTGCGGTCATAGCGAGAACTCCCCATAGAGGGCTCAAAAGAGGCCATGATGCTCTTCCCATGCAGATCAGTGGCTTAGATTTTGGGAAAAAGCTCTGAGCCACAGTGACATTTTAATCTAAATGTCAGCCCTCTTGAATTGATTTAAAAGAGAGCGCCCTTCTAACGGTGTTATTTCCCGAAACTATGTTAGTCAAAGCTGTAAACTGTATACAGTGTCCCGCAGTGGCTCAGTCAGTAGGGGCTTGGACTGGGAGCTGTAGGGTCACCGGTTCAAGTCCTCCTGCCCTCAGTTCACCTCCTGCCCTGCCGTGGTGCCCTTGAGCAAGGCACCGGACACCCCCCTTCCCCCCTCACTCCCATTGCTCCCCGGGCGCTGTACAATAGCTGCCCACTGCTCCTAGTACTAGACTCCTGGTACTAGGATGGGTTAAATATAGAGAACACATTTCACTGTGTGCTGTGTGCTCTGCATGTGTGACCATTAAAAGAGGGTTTCATCCCTCCCAATTCTAATTCTATATTTTAGAGACCAATCTATGCGTGTGTGTGTGTGTGTGCTCCCAGTATGCAGAATGTGCTGCCTAGCTTGGCTCTGAGCCCCGAGGAGGAGACTGAAGTGGAGGTTACAGCGCAGGAGAAAGAGAAGATGATTAATATCTCCTACGAGCTGGCAGCAGAGGCCTCCAAACGCAGCAAGCTGGTAGCAGGTACATCTCTAGAGAGAATGTGTGGGGGGGGGGGGGGGGGGGGGTTGATGAGAGTAAAGCATGTGATGAAACAAAAGCAAGTGTCAGCCTGCTCGCAGAGATCACTACTTTCCATTGGGGATTATTAAACTGCAGCTGCTTCCATTGTGCATGTGTTCAGTCATTCATCACCGTATTATAAATAGGTCTTCATTGTTTGTTGTGTTTGGCCATTAATCGACTGATGTTCTGTTGTCATTGTGTGTGTGCCTGCCTGTTCCACATGTTGCTCTGTTTCCTTGCAGTGAAAAGCCTGTCGCCCTCATCCCCATCCCTACCACAGTCTCCTAACACACCCCAACTCACTGATGGCTCTCACTTCATGTGTGTGTAGTGGCTCCAGTAAGGCCTTCATCAACCTGTTTTGTCCTTACTCACAAATCTAAAGTGTTCTCAGTGTTTCATTGTTGTCTTTGGGGAGCATGTCAGAATAATGGGATTGATGATTAATTGTAGGAACATCTAAAGAGGGGGAACCGTTGTGATGTGTTTTTTATGTGTTCTGTGTTGTTGAAGAAAAACCCATTTGTCCTTAATTGTTCCTGTGTACATCACTCAACTCAATGTATCCGTAGGGGCCTTGTTTTTTACATTTAACACCATTTCTTGTTATATAATGAGACTCAAATGACTGCATATACAATCAGTGGCCACTTTATAACCCAATCCAATTTAAAGCACAGCTCAGCTATAAATTCTACCTTTTAACTTTATAATGAGCAATTTCTGTTGAAGATTGGAATGTCTGGATTCAATTATGTGTAGTGCTGGCAAGGATATTAGAAAAACATCTCATTATAACGCATTCTGGTACTAATTATAACCGCAGTGCGTAAATATATAACTAAATTAACACCTTACGACAATGCCAACAAAAACTCAACTTTATAGGCATAATAGATTAGAATCAGAATCAGAATACTTTTTATATCCCATGGGAAAATAAGCTTTGCTCCTTTTTTGAAAATAAAATATTTAAACAAAAATTAGAAGTTAAAGTCAAAATGTGTCAAAAGAAGATTAGAATACAAATATTTATATCAATGTAAGAAGTTAAGTAGAAATGTGCACATTGTACTTTCATATAACAATAATAAATGTGTAAATGGTGTATTTAACAATATATACCGTGGTGTAGTATTAGTGAAGAAAACCAGATTATTGCTTGAAATGTAGAGTAGGGCTGTGCAATTAATCGTATTTTAATCTCGATTTTGGCTTGCAACGATTACGAAAACAACGTAATCGAAATAAAACGATTATTTTATTTTATTTGTGTTTTCAGTTGAATTATACTTAAAGTTCAGGGTAATCAACTGTTAAAAACATACTGTTCAAATCTTTTTTTTCAATAAATGGATGTTTTAAAAGAAAATGGATAATCGTTTTTAATAATCGTGATATCGATTATTGACCAAAATAATCGTGATTATGATTTTTGCCATAATCGAGCAGCCCTAATGTAGAGTGTAATACAATATGTATCCAACGTGTCAAAGTACTGCATAGTGGATAATTGCACAGGTTGCAAATAAAGTGGGCACTGAGTGTATATGAGAATTAGTATCTAGTGTTACATTTTGGGCATAATATGACCTTTTCCCTTATTTAAAAATGTCCCCTTCTCTATCTGCAGCCCAGGCCCTGGCCTCAGTGAGAACATACACATGAAGGAAACAGCAGTGGAGGTGTAACAGATCCCTGAAGACTTCCCCATCAGCACAAGGCCCCGGCCTACAGAGAGAGAAACTGCCCACTCTGGACTTCTGTATGCTCACTGTGACGTCTCAAGCCACCAACAACATTTTCTCTGTGACATTTTCTCTGTTATTTTGCCTTTTTTTGGGCGCCACACATGACCGCTGTGATTCTGTTCTTGTTGCAGTTCCATTTTCAGTTTTTACAATGCTTTTACGGTTGTTTTTATTATTTATATGGTTTTATTAGGTTCTTGTTTGGAAAGGGCCATCGTCTGTCTGTGTATATATATATATATGAGGCTAACGGACTGAAGGCCTGTGAAAAAAGTGTTTAGGCCACATTTTTCATTCATGTTTCTCCACCATGTTTGTCCTACAAGGTTTCAAAAACACATCATTTTAGCTCATTTCCATCTTTTATAAGTCACGCAGTTTGTTTTGCAAACATCGGTCATTACCCAACCATTCATATTTATCCGTTTATTGTAAAGAACATTTGTTGATACTAAAGATGACTTTATAAGAGATGTAGATCCCTCCATTATAATGAAAGGAGGAGACACTTTATTGCTACAGACAAAGATTAATTGTAGTTTTCCTGTTTCTGGGTTGTAATTATTTAAAAAGGGATCTTCTGCAGTCCCTGTCGCGTTGTTGCCGACGAGTATGTGAATGTTTAAGTCACTCTATACTGTCTTTTTTTATTGCTGAGAGATATATTTAAACTGAGAGAAGGAAATAAGAGTTTGGTTCTATTTTATGACATGTTGGTTTGAAGTCTTGGAACTAAAAAAAAAAAGATTAGCACATCTGAAAAGCAATAAAGAGAAAACGTTTGTGGATCGAGGATTTCTTTTTGTGTGTGTGTACAAAGTGTAATTATCAGAGGTTCACTATGTATATAATGTACATGGTATAGCAGGATGGAAAGATGTATCCAACAGGTTACGGGCTAGATTTGATTTGAAAATGTTCATATTCCATCTGTTTTATATCATGTTAAATAAATGTTGCTGTTCTTAACAAGCGGTTGCATTTTGTTATTTACCACACCTGTAGTGGACAAGCTGAGAATAAAGCTACTATGAGAATGACTATCATATAAATTAAATTTAAAAAGTCCTGAGAACAGAGTCATGTAAAGTTAGTATTTTTCAGCTTTGTCTTTTAACATAACTCTTGATTTGCTCACATAACAGGACTACATTAATGTAGAAATTATAACACATGTATCCTAGATTCAAGTTACAAGGTCTCTGTTATTACCAGAATGTTATGCTCTAATAGTGGACTAAGAACTGAAATAATCAGCTTACTCAAATAATTAATTGGTCATTTGTGGGGTACATTAAGAGGAGAAAGCGACATGATACAGTCTACCTTGAGGTCCTCAGTATGAATGACAGCCATCTTAAATATAGAACTGTGGCTCCCTCTTGTGGTCACAATTAGGTATGGTCAATAGTCTATCTATGGTTATACTGTATTTTACAGTAACTCTTACCACATCACTTAAGGTAGTAATGGAGACCTTATCTTTCCCAGTGCCCAAGTAGGATGAGTGAAGTTTGTTTGAAAAAACAAACGTAAACATAACCTTTGTTCCTGAAATGAAGAGCATTAGTAGCCTTTAATTATTATTACCAGCAAATAAAGTCATCCGAGAAGGCTTTACTATAGCACAGTGATGCTCCTAGTCCTTGGAGAAAATAAATTAGTCTTTATTGTCAGTAGATGTACTCTTGGGGTGGTTGACATAAAAACCAGTCGTATAAGCAGTAATTGCAGCATAACAATGAAAGGCAAAGGTTAATATTTGGTTTGCAGAGACAAACGGTATAATTCATATTCATATAACATGTGTTTGTCTGAGGGTGATGTTTGGTGTGTGAGTTTGATACAAAACAAAATAAAATGTGCATTATTTCTAAATAATGCTCTCCTGGCCTTAATTGGTAAACGTTTGCTGTATTAAACATGGACTTCCATATTTAAAACCCCGCTGTGTGGTTTTGGAAACACATGGAAAGTTTAAATACCATCGCCAGCTTCACCTCCTCGTGCCGCCTCTGACCAATCAGAGAGCAGACAGCGTGTTTGACCCCGCCCTTCTTCTGCAGAGGAGCGTTTCTGGGCGCCACGGGTGAATTTTAATACAGAAAGTGTCACACGGCACGTACGCCGCCGAAATGTCTGCTGCGACCCCAGAAGAAACACCCGAGCTCAGTGTTGAGAGCGATGCACCGCCCGGGGAGACACAAGGCAACGGCGGAGAGACCGAAAATGGCTTTACCGAGCCGGATAAAGAGGAACCGCGCAGTAGCGTAGAACCGAAAATGGAAGGGGTGGAGGCGGAGGCCGGCGAAGAGAAGCCCGCTGCAGAGAGACGGGAGGCCGGCGAAGAGAAGCTCGCTGCAGAGAGACAGGAGGCCGAGGCCGAGGCGGTGACAGCCGGCAGTGTTGAGGTGAACCAGGGGGAGACAGCCGTAGAAGAACCGGAGCTAAAGCCAGAGGAAAAACCAGAGGAAAAACCAGAGGAAAAACCAGAGGAAAAGCCAGAGGTAAAGCCAGAGGAAAAGCAAAGCCCGGAGGATGGTAACAACATACCTGCTGCCAACGATAACGCAATACAAGACGCAAAGGAGCAACCGGGACAGGTAAACTGCGAAAAGAGCAAAGCAGCGTGTGAAGACGGGGAGAAGCCCGGCGGCGGGGGCGGGGAGCTGGACGACAAGAGGCGGCCGAGTGTGGAGATCTCATCCTCGGATGGAGAACCGCTGAGCCGCATAGACTCGGAGGACAGGTTGGTGTGAGACACTTCGGGTTTTCTTGACCAGTGTTTGGTGTAATTGGGTTAGAGTAGCATGGATAATTTTCCTTTATCCACGTTTTTAAATGAGGAAAAAAATGTCTAATTAGAGAATTTGTAGTTAATAGGTCAAACTATGAACACAATGTTGGCTACTCAACTATGATACAAGCGAAAACGGCAATTTAATCACACCCATCAATCATTTTCATAATTATTTGAGCATGGTATCAACTATATATATATATTTGATACCATGCTCAAATAATTATGAATGATGATGAAAAAGATTATCTTATATGCGCATATATTATATATATATATATATATATATATATATATATATATATATATATATATATATATATATGCGCATATAAGATAATCTTTTTCGTTTCAAATATTCCATTTTCAGTTTATGCTGGTGGGCTTGTGTGAACTGCACATTGGCTTACAAATAGTTAAGGTCAAACACCCAAGGAAAAGTGACTGATGTATTGAAAAGTAACTCCACTGATTCCATCAGTAAAACTGCTGCCAACACTGGGATCAGTAAGGCCTACTGGTTGGATTTGTGATGAGTAAATTATGAGCCCTTTTGTGGTGTTGAAACTCCAGTAAATGAGTAATTTCGTGGTAAAAGCATGAAATCCAGCGATGTAATTGATTTGGCATAAGTGATGAAGCGGTGGCATGCATGGAAAATCGGATTCAGCCTGATGGCTTTCACGCATAGTGGCTATTCAATTTTGGCTTGCACCTGTTCTCCACTGCAGTGCAAAGCCTGATCTAAGCTAAGAAGATGTTCTTGATGTCCTTAGCACCATGTTTAAAGGTCCCCTATTATACTGTTTTTCATCAATTTATTATAGGTCTCAGATATATACAAAACATGTCTCTGAAGTGTTTGGCTCATAATACCAAACAGATCATTGTAGCATCCCATAATCCCCTCTGTTTCAGCCCTGTTTCAAAAGTGCTGATTCTCTGTCTGTTACTTTAGATGAAAATAAGGAGCCACTCCCCACGCCCCTCTGAGAGATATTGGGTTAAAAAAAAAACACAATGGTGCTCTAGGAGGAGATTCAGGTGATAAGGTGTGTGTGTGGGGGGGGGGGGGGGTTACCTTGGTTGGTGATTGGCTAATGGTTACACAAGCCAGAAAATCGTTATGACATCATAAAGTGGCCAAAATCTGATCAGCTCACTTCAGACAGGTTTTATATAAATGGATCAGGACAAATAGAGAGCAAATCTTTTTTCCTGAAACTTTCAGAATCTCTTTACACAGATGTTTAGTGGATTTTGCATAATAGTGACCTTTAACACAAGTTGGACTCTTCTTTCTCCTTCCTCTCTCCACTCTCTCCTCTCCTTCAGTATCAGCAGTACCCTGATGGAGATGGAGAGCACGGTGTCCAGTGGGCGCTCCACACCTGCCATGATGAACGGACAGAGCAGTGCCAGCTCCTCGGGGGTGAAGACAGTGGGGTACCCCTGCTGCTGGGACCTCTGTTCTCAGTGCTTCAACTCAAGTCCTGACCTGGCAGAACACATCAGGGGCATTCATGTCGACGGGCAGCGAGGAGAGGTCAGTATACTTTCAACTTTTGGACAAGCTTCGTGTTGATGTCCTTTATTGTGTCTGACAGGTAGCCAAAACAAGATTAGGTCCCTTTTTTTCAGCCTAACATTAACTGTTGAAATGCTTAAGACAGTTTAATGATGTGATTAAATTGGACTACATGCAACCATTGAGTTCATATGTCTGTTGGCATGGGAACTACTTTCTGTGGAAGAATTATTCCTTTTTTTAAGAACTGTTCCCAGTGTGCATATGTATATAATTTAAGAAATATTTCAATCTCTTTCTGTGCAAGATACCTCCTTATGCTGTCTTGTCATCTTACCTCTGTATCTGTTGATTTGTATTTGTTGTCCCCCAGGTGTTTGTGTGTCTATGGAAGGGTTGTAAGGTGTACAACACACCATCCACCAGTCAGAGTTGGCTCCATAGACACATGTTGACTCACAGTGGAGATAAGCCTTTCAAGGTAAAGAAAAACAGTAAACCTTGCTATGATAATATGTTGTTATATGAGTAAAATGTCTAATATCAGCATCTATCTAAGCTATTATCTCTTGGAATAAAACCACATTGTACATTTTACATTTATATAATCTGTTCAATATTTAATATTCCATCTGTCATATATTTATGTATATATATATATATATATATATAATACCTTGTTAAATTCAACATGTATATTTTCTACTTTCTTGTTTATTTCTAGTCTTTGAATTTTTATTGTACAATGCCATATTTTTTTATGCTGCTGCAATGCAAACATTTCCCAAATTGGGATCAATAAAGTACTTCTTATCTTATCTGTATCACAAATACATTGTGGTGGCCAATCATTTAACCAGTGATCAGACCTGTCAGTCCATGTGGGGCCATGAGAGAGTAACAGCTCCAGCACAATGCACAGTCCCTTACTCATACCTGATTTAGGTGCTATCAATTTAAGCTGCTTTCAAATGTGTTTTGAAATATCGACCTTAAAAATTCCCTGTGACAAAAAACACACAATTTGAACATTTGAGGACTACTTTGGGATTATAGTTCACGTCAGGACGTCGCCAAAAAAGCAATTTGAGTGCCAGATTGATGGCATCTTTCAATAATACATCAAAGTACCTACAGTAGTACCAGCACGTGTTCTGCAACGCTATTGACTCAAATAAATGGTGTTATTCCTTTGTTTATAAAGTTGTCATGTTGCCCTGTGAAGTGACAGATGTACCAATCATCCTCTGCCTCTGTGCTCTGCTGCAGTGTGTAGTCGGCGGCTGCAACGCCAGCTTTGCCTCCCAGGGGGGGCTAGCTCGTCACGTCCCGAGCCACTTCAGCCAGCAGAGCTCCTCCAAGATGTCCAGCCAGGCCAAACTCAAGGAGGAGTCCCCCTCCAAGGCTGGGCTCAACAAGAGGAAGAAACTCAAGAACAAACGCAGGTGCTCCCTACGTACGTACCTACCTAACACGCACACACACTTACTGTTTTTTAAAAGTTTCTTACTGTGATTTCCCTCTTTTCTTTATGGGATAGGATTACAAGCTGAGTGCATTTTTGAGGCGCTGCCATGTTTGTTGTACATAATTGGCTTCTAACCGCTCACATCTCTTTGTTGGAGAAGCTAGAACTGGACACCAAGCAAGCGAACTAGAACATACGCTTGTAGCTGGACAGATTCCCCCAAGGGCAACTTTCCGCATTTCACAGAACAACTTTTAAATATAATTGCATCGTTTCACTATTTGAATACGCGCTGTGCTCAGGTAGAGTGTTATACTTACTCCCTTGTAACATGTTTTGCATCAGATGGCCTCTCTCTGCAGTATGCAAACCAAGGCATGTGTTATACTTCTACACTTACTGTACTAGTAATCTTAGTGCGAGATGATTTTAAAATACGTGTGACATGAAATCATCCACATTTGAATTTCAGACGAATAGCATTTTGCTGTGTTCATGAAAAGCAAAAAACATCTCTTACCATAAATCCTAAACCTTATGTTGACAATTAAGAGACCGCACATTTGTTTAGCATATTTTAGAATATTAACACATTTGTTTATAGTTCGTGCAAACTGTTTCCCTGAGCATAACTTTTAGATTGAAAACCTCCTTGAACATTTAAGAACATAATCAGAGACTCAAAACCTGCTTGAGGTTATCATCCATCCAAGTAAATGTCCTTGTTTTTCAATCCAGCTGGAACAGGGACCCTTTTAGACTCCTTAGTGTAGCATTCAAGGACACTCTTCACATCTCAGAGTTGATGGTTGAATGCCAAAAAGCATTTCATTCACATAAACCTTGTGAAGTTGTTTCACACTGCAGTGAATTGGCTGGAAACATGCTGGTAAACAGGGATGAGTCTGGTGTTTGGAATACAAATGTATCCATCTAAAGGCAGTCCTTATATCAAGGGTTTTCCTAAACACTAGTCGTACATCGAGTGTCAGTAAGATCCTGTGCAGAGACCCGGCCGGCTGTCATCAGTTTGTTTGGCTTAGGAAGGTACAAACTCAGTGAAATTACCCAGAAGTATTTAAGTGGCAGCCTTAACAATAGCCGGTTGAATTATCTGAATAATATCTCTTTTAGCAGAGGATTCGCTGGACCATCCTTTACCAAAGAAAATATGATAAAGCCATCCCACAATTCCTTAACCCTCCTGTTATGCTCAGATTGACCTTACACCCTTTATCCTCTGGGGTCAATTTGACCCCGGTAGTTTAAAACTCAAGGCAATGATCATATTCCAAATTTTAACCAAAATATATGTGTCTGGTGCTTTAGGTATCTTAGTTGACTACCTAAATAACCATTTAAATAAAACATTACCCCAACCTTCCCCCCACAGACCCCTTTATACATCCAGAATTCCTATTATGTGACTATCGAAAAATATATAAATCACCATAAAATCTCACTGATTGAAATAAAATGTTAAAGATCTTTTTGATGCTGTTAAAGGACATTGTTTTACAATGATACATTTGCATGTAATAGTCACCTCAATATCATCCTACACAATCAAGACAAATATGTGTAAAATATTGACATTTGTATATGTTTTATACTACTAAAACAGTCTGGGGTCAAATTGACCCCCAAGGAACACCGATGCGTTCATTTAAATGTTCATTTTATGTTTACCCATTAGTCCGCACTAAATTAGGAAAAGTCATGAAATACTAAGCAAAACAAATAATGTGAACCTTTTTTTTTTAGATACGTTAAACATTGAATGGGGTCAAATTGACCCCAAGGATAACAGGAGGGTTAATGTAGCAGTACGGCAATAAATGACATCTGCTCTTTAATTGTTTACCGATGGGAATCATTACTTGAATCATACAGCATTGAGAAATAGAGTTGCTTTACATAAGCCTTCTGTAAGTGCAATCGAATATTCTTTGCACGACAGTTGTCTTTTTTACGTCCTCACATTCTCCTTCACATCTTTCCCTGACTTCATGACGTTTTCCATCGTGGTTAAGATCAAATGGTTAGGACAATACGTGTGATGGGGTCATTTTTTAACTTTTTGCTCGGCCCTCATCTTGATGGGTCACTTTACAGAATCATAAAAGGATATACTGTTCAGAAAAAAATAGTAGCAAAAGGCCTTACTAAAATGATGATCCTATTTCTGCTAGTTTGGTTGTTTTGCCCAAATAAAGCCAATGTATGAGACTGGCAAGAGTGTTCTGTTTTTAATGTTATACTTTTGGAATACATTTCTACAAAGTGCTTTGCATAGACCTCATTTTGACTTTAGTTGGTGCAAAGCAACAATGAAAAACCACAATGGAATAGCATTTTAAAGCAATTAGATGACTTTGACGTAGTTACGGGTTGTTACAGAAAGACTTGGAAAAGCCTTGGAATTTTTATATATTGAACCACAGTTGGCGCCCTTTGTGTTTTTGTTGCCTGACTCAGCTCTCATCTGACCTCTCCTCCTCCAGCGAGGCCGCACGACTTCTTCGATGCCCAAACCATGGACGCTATCCGCCACAGGGCCATCTGTCTGAACCTTGCCACCCACATCGAGAGTGTGGGCAACGGCCACAGTGTGGTCTTCCACAGCACGGTGAGTCTGTGCAGCTTCATCACTTTGTGTTGTCTGGTAGAGCTTGTCTCCGTCTGCATTTTTTATGTTTAAACGCAATGAGTAGGATATTCAGAGACGAGGGTTAAAGGAGGCATTGTCTTATCCTTTGGAGAAATGATCAGATGCATTCCTTTTGTAGGTAAAAGGTAAACTGTACAACAGAAGTTCAATCAGTCCTAAGAAATGAAACTACTTCAACTTGACATGTTCTGCCTGGTTATTTACTTTGCATGGTTGTTTTCACATAAGTACACCCTTTGTGTTTTTTCAAAAAGTATTTTATTTCATGTAATTCTCTTTTTAGACAGCAGGGGGCGGGAGAGACTCACAATCTGAAAATCACTTCCGTGCACTTGAAATGAACCTTGTGAATCGCCCAAAGGCTTAATGTTGTTTTTCTGTGAATTACGCTTCACAGGAAACACAATTGCTTTGTTTTTGTGTAGGTTCTCTCTCCATTCTGAGCCCAGTGCGTGACACATTATTAATTAGCTACACAAATGTGTTTGTACCTTTTAGCGTTGAGGGTCCATATGATGAGGAAAAATATCATTTCAAGTGAAGCATTCAATCACTGATAAGTAGATAATGATAATAATTGTTTGAGTAATAATGTATATGTAAAGTTAAAGTAACAGCAGTTTGGATGTGTATGGAAAATCCTTTTTTTTTTTAAAGACTGCTTTTCTTGTGCCCTTCCACTAGAGAGCGCTGTGTCTCCTGTACAAGACTCCACATAGCACAAGGCTAAACAATGAAAGGGTCATTATCCTCGGTTTCTCAGCACATTTGTATTATTTGCTGCATGTATACTCTTATAGAAACATACTCTTTAGTCATTTGCAGTAATTGTATGTACACTGGCTATCCTAGTACATAATGTGGTCTTTATTATCTGTTTCTCGCTTTCTGCAGAGAAAATTAGGAATTTAGTATTTTTGTTTCCAGATGTCTGAACTCATAAATGATATATGACGTGCTTTGCCAATATAGCAAGGTCTTTTACAGGTATTATATATATATATTAAAATATCACAATATGACTAATCTATTCAATAACACATAGTTTAACAAATCAAACGTGTAGAACAAGGATCTAAGAAACCTCCATACAGTAAAGGAATATATTGTAACATTCAATTGAACTGGTTGCAAGTGCAGTATAGTAATAATGATGATATTCACTCTGATACATAATTTGTAAGTTTATTTAATTAAAATGTAAGATGTGTGTGTGTGTGCACGGAGCCTACAAGGTCACTGATGATGCGAGTGTGTGATGGACCTGCGGGTTATACATGTGTCTCCAATGCATGCATGCACATTTTCATCATGCAAATAGATCGCCATGAAGCCATCTCGTGCATCTCTTTCCCTTTTTAAAAGATTTCCACTGTTAATAATTTAAGCATTTCTGAAATGTGCAGTGTTGAGCTTCTGTTTCTGTTCCCTTTCAACTGGATTCTGCTCTGCTCTGCTCCCTTTAAACCTCAACTGCTCACCAGCAGCCAAGAATTTTAAAAGAAAAGTAAAAAAAAAACAAAAGAAATGGGAAGATGAAGCTTGGGAAGAGGTTAAGAGAGGTAAACCGCATATTTGGACACAGACTGAGAAGGAGGAAGAGCCAGCCAGGGGGAGGGAGAGAAACAAATGGCTAGAAACAGAGACTTGGAGAGAAGGGACGAGGAAAAGGGGGTTAAGTGGAGTTCAGGGTCATGGAATCGGAAGGAGATCTGGCCAGTTAGGCATACATTCTCCTCTCACTCGTCCCGGGAGGGTTGTGGTGCAGAAGGACTGCGGCGCTGCGTCAGACCCCGGGCCCCAGCGGACCTCTCCCAGGCCCGGGGAGAGGGAGCGTAGCTGTGGGGGCTCTGTGGAGTTTAGCCAGTGGTCCTGCTGACACTCCAGAGCAGCTCAGTCATGTTTATGATGGGATATTTTTGTTACTGCGCCAATCTGCGTCATCCACAGCTTGACCCCCTGACACTAGACAGGCACCCAGTTTCAGCAGGCCCTCCCTCCCCCTGCTTTGGTCTGCACTGCCTTGTTTAGCGGCCACGTTAATATCCACTGTTCACTCCCTCCTGCTCTCTCCTACCTCCCTCTCATGCGTCTATAGAGGATTAAGTTCGGTCCCTTAAAGCACCAACTGCCCTCATCAAAAACACTCGGCTCACAAATCACTTCATGCTGCTTAAACACAAGCACTTCTTCATCTTCAGCCTTTACATACATGGTCATGGCTTATTCAAGTGTAGCCTATGTTTGTGATTATTAACCCGGTGCTGTGAGGAGCCCGAGGGCGCAGGTTAACAGCTAGGCTTTTTTAATTAAAAGGGCAGTGAAACAGCTGCTGGTGAGTCTAAGCTGAGCACAGGCCCTGTTGTTGAGGCAGAGTTGTCTCTCCTCCCTTGTGTGTTTCTATGGTGGATCAGCAGTAGACAGTTGAGCCTTGGTGGGAAGCTAGAAGATGGAGGCATATAAATGAGAACACAATTGCAATGACAAAGTTAATTTACGAGGCGAGTTGTGCTAATGCTGGGAAGGAGTTTTTGCAACTTCTAAAGATTTATTTGGACATTTCTGTAAACAAAGGATAACAATGTTTTAATTGGCACATTAACAAACTGCAGTCAAGATATATTATTTGTATTGCTTTATCTGACAGTAGAAAGTGACTGATACGTTTTTTTTGTTAATGAAAACAAATAAATGAACAAAGTGCGTTACGTTCCCTGAAACTCCAGTGGATGTGGGGAGGAACAATACAATACAAATGATCAAGGAAGTCTGAAGTATAAGCAAAGGTTAGGACATTTATTAACAACCGAAATATAATTCACAACCAAAAACAGACCTCTTAACGAAAGCCAAAACTTAAAGGGAAATTGTCTAACTCAAATCAAAGCCACAGCTATCACACAAGCTCTGCTGCAGGATGATCACATAACGGCAGATCTTATGAATCACGGCTGTAAGAGAGAGACTGAGACTATTTTGCTCCTTCGAATGGTTTAATTAGCCCAAGAGTCTTGGGAAAATGCTGCAAACCTAGCGATTTGCACGATGTATGCAAGTGAATGCAAAATTATTCTAAATATGAATGCACTGAACATAATTATACTGCATATGAACTATACCATTTGAAGTTAAAGTGGCTTTTTGGAATTAAAACATTGGGAAAGCTAATCAGAAACAAGATTTCCTGTATACATGGCAGAGCAATTGTAGTTCATGAGGAACACATTCAGGTTTTCTTAATCCCCCTAACTGATCAGAGGAAGACTTTAAATTGATTGTGACCTGGTTGAGTAGTTGTATGTGAACTCACTGATGGAGGAAGAGATGGAGGACTTTGCATCTAACCAATGACATCAAACTGCCCATTGCACCTGTCCAACAGGACGTCAATGTCGACTTCATTGACACTTACAGGGAAACAGATGGAGAACTCACATTTGGCCTACAAAGTCAGACCTTATTGAACACATTTTATTTGTATAGGTTGTAGGGAAGGGTTTATATTACACGTCAACAGTACTTTTGTTAAAGTGTGAGCTGCTCAAGTCATTGTTTTGTTTAATCACTGATTCTGTTGGCACTGCTGCTGTGATGCCTACTCGTTCCCTTTTCCACTCTGAAGATTTTTACGCTTGAATACTGCATAACAGACAAGAGGCAACAACAGTGTTGATGTGCCAACTTGGCTGCTATCTAAAAAACTTCTCACAGACAAATATTGATGCACCAATCCAACAACAACACAATTCATATCTGCTAACAGCCTTAAAGTGCACCATATATTATGGGTCTCGGATATATAAAAACATGTCTATGATGTGTTTTGCTCAAAATACAAACAGATCATGCATTTTAGACATCCCTCTTATCCCTCTATTCCAGCCCTGTTAGAGAAACGCGGATTTTGGGTCCTTAGCTTGAAAAACAAGAAAAAAAGAGGAGGCGGAGCTAATGCCTGATCAGAATTCTACCGGAGATGAAGTTCAATTCTGCTGTGATAAAACGCCATCCTGTTCTAAACCACATCAAGGATTATTTCTGAAACAGTATGGAGCTCAAATGCTTTTATTTCCTGCTTTTTAAACACATGTGCTCTCCAGTACAGGTTAGCTTTGAGTGTTAGCGAGGCTTGCTAATGTAAACAAAGACGAGATTACGTCAAAAACACGTCAGGCATTGTTTCTGATAGCAACTTTCTGTGGGTCGTCCACCATCCGAAATTACGTAATATCGGCAGCAAATCTGTATCCGCTCGTTGTAGGCCTACCCCCGTTTTTTTAACGATTTGGGTACGGAGGAAAAGAGAAAGGGTTTTATTTTCTGAGGCTGCGTGAGTTCCGACCAAGTTCCGACACACCGGGGACACATATTTATGTATAAAAGACATCAAAAAGTGCATTTTGCATGATAGGTCCCCTTTAATATTTCTTCCAAAAAGTCCATCAAAATGTAGCTAAACTTGTTTATACCAGACGGCTTTATATCTGGATAGATTTGCACATTTATTCTTGCGCCTCCAGTACACACAGCAACATGGCCGGAGGGTAGTCTCTAACAGTAGTGTAGAAAAAGTTCCTGGAAGAGACAAATAATATATGTTTGTGCTAGGCAGAAGACAATAACTTGGACCTTTAAAATAACAAAGGCCAAAATGGTCTGACCATAAGGATACATAAAATGAATGAAGGATCCAAAATCCTCAAATGAATACACATTTTTGCTCCTAAATCAGAGGGCAAGAGAAACTTTGAGATAAGGAGGAGAGTGATTCTAGGTCTCTGTGTCTCTTGTCTCAGTGGAGCCTCGTCCCTCCTGTCCTCAAACCAGTTTTCCATCAAAGCCTCAGCCGGTCCCTCGAGTCACAGAAATAATTTCAGATATTTATGTGCGTAAGCGGAGTTCTTCACATGTGAGCTCATTCCCTTTTCCTAAAATAGACATTCCTAAGACAAAAAAAAGCCAATTGATGCAAGAGGTTATATCTCTGGCTATTTTTGACACTCCTGGTTATTTTTCTAGCTCTACTTTCCCCTACTGACAATATTTGTGTGAATACCAGACCAGTTTTACTATAAACCAACACAGCATGATAGATGAAATGTTATGCGTGTTATGAGAGGGACCAACTATTCAGGAAACATAGTATCTTTTCAACTGTATTTTCATAGCAAGAAAGGCTCTAAAGTGTGCGTTTTTTTCCAGATTAAATATTTAGAAGTTCAACCAGGTGACAAAACGCAGATAAAAGAAGCACATCTTGCCGTGTTCCTGTAGAAAACATTAGAAAGAAGTGTCGCACTGCTGTCTAAAGTATTCAAACGCTGGTGCTGACACAATCCACAACAACAGTGACTTGTTTATGGTGATAACTGCTTTGTGTAGCCCATGTCTATTATTTGGAACTCGAGAATGTCAGCTCTGATAAGCCGTTCTCAGTTAAGTCCAGATACCGGGGAGATATCTAAGTTTAGTCTGGTTTTGAATTCCTTGCTCTTACAGCAAGTTGCAGAGGAATTTGGGGTAGATCCCATTGAAAATAGAAATCTCACTGAGCTCTTGCATACATAATTAAGAGTGCTCACATTTCTTATTAGGGTAATGATCAGCCAGTGTATCACTTGGTGAAATGTTTGAAGCATGTAGCCTCATTATACATCGGAGAGATGGGGCCAGGACAGGGGCATGTCTTTGAAGCCTGTTCTCTACAGACAAGAGAGTGCTGCAATAGGAGCCAAACGCAACACATTTACACATTTGACGCTTGTAAAACCACTGTTAACTGTCTGGAAATTAACCATAATATGTTGGTTCATTATATACCTCTGTCTGTTTGTGGTGGGGCTCAATTGGTGAAGCTCTTACTGGTTACTTGGCAAACTAACTGAGTAACTTACTACCTATCTAAGCACTTATTGTGTTTTTTTATTACTCATCTTTGTGTTCTCTGTGCAGGTACTAGCCAGAAGGAAAGAGGGATCTGGCAAGGTGAAGGTCCTCCTGCATTGGACACCTGAGGACATGTAAGTAAAACGTCCCCTACATTAACCATAGATATCCATAGAATTGACCTCAGCTAGCATTTAAAAAAACGTTTTTCAGGTTAGTGTTCACAATCAAATTCTGATGTTTTTAATTAGTTTATCATTATTACTTTGAGTTGCCAAAAGACAAGAATTTGGAGAGTGTATTGAATATCCCTGTTGTTGTGGATATTCATCGTAGCTTTATCCATGTAGGGCAACTGCTTAAGGTACATGTGAAGTACTGCTTAGTATATAGAGGTCATGGGTTTGTATGCAGGACAGCTATAAACAGTTTTGAGAGATTTGTAGATAACCTTTAAAATGTCACGGATCTACAAGCAAGCAACTCGCCATCCCATTTAGAAATCTCCTGCACATGCTTACCATGTAAAGCCTGAGCCTGTCACACAATCATTTCCTTTTTGAGCAGCACGGTCCCTGCGTGTGCACGTGAACATCAACAATGTACATGTATCTCTGTCTGATTTACAACTCTCCTTTCCATCCCGTTGTGCAAACAACATGGTGGCCTTCCTCCACATCAGGGCTTGCTATAAATCTTCTCACCCTTCCTCTGTGGGCTGATCCAATATTTGTTGTGCTGTGTGAGAGGATTCTAGGTCCTGTTATAGTGCACATCACACCCCAGCTTGAGGCCCTAGGGCTTACCTCAGAGGAAGCTGAGGGCAATACTGATGATGATCCGCCAACATCTTCTCTCTGAAAATATGAACATGGATATCATAACACAGAAGACTACCATTAAAGTCGGTCTCTGTCCTTCTCTGGTGTGGCACTGGTTCTTCACCATCTGCTTTGCTTCGTCTTACTCGCATGATCCACTGACATTTCTTTATAAACTGTGGTGCAGCAACCAAAATTACTTGGAGGCTGAATTTGTTCTTTTTATAGGCTCTCCAATCCATATTTTTCTTTAAATCCCAGTTTTAGTAATGAATGCCCATCCCAGTATTTGGCTGTAACGCCTGGACCTCTCACCAGGCTCTGCCAACTTGAGGTGGACATTGGCCGCACTTTCAGTCCCAAATCATTGAGACCATTTTGCAGAAGGGCATGCAGGTTCGGCACTGTGCTGATACAATTGGTCTGTCCCATAGGAAGGAGAGCTTCACAGAACACTGTCTGCTATTCAGCTGAGCTCTTGTTAGAGGAAGCTCCCACCAAAACGTCCAACACTCCCATTAAAGAGTTTGACTGCACAGCCCGAGTATGATCAGAGAGGAAGAATGAAAGAGAAGAGGAAAGGAGGTTGGGAGATGAGAAAAAGTCAGTGGAAAGAGATGAACAAAGAGAGAGAACAAGGTCAAAAAGACAAAGAGAAAAATACATTTGGCCTAGTGGCACTGTAAGGAGACCCAGATGATGAATGGTGTCGAAGATTGCAGCTGACGGCCATCCATGAACACACTGTAGCTAAATCCTTGTTCTCTCAGCCTTCTGGTGCTTTATCAACCCATCCTTCCTCCTCTTCTTTCCTTTCCCCCTCTCTGATCCACCTCTGCTATCTCCTCCTCGCCCTGTGTGTGGGAGTTTAATCTTGTGCATGGAGAAATAATGAAAGGGAAGGGGGAAGTAGAGAAAGATGAACTTTGGTGATCAGGAAAGACTTGGCAGATTCATTCCAAACAGAGAGACGTTGATGGAGATTGATACTGAGTTTAAAAGACAGATTTAGGCAGAATAAATGAGGGAAAGGATGGGGGAGACAGTGAATGGAGGAAGGTGAGAAATGGGAGTGGGAAGAAAATGGTTGTGGGGGAGAGAAATGTGCAGAAGAGGCAGAATGAAAACAGAGTGAATTATGGGGAGATAATTAAACAAAAATGGAAAACAAGAGAGAGGGATACTTTTTGGCTTGGTCCATGCAGGATTCATCTGTGATGCTACGTCATACTTCTCCCTCGCGGCAGGCAAGTGCTCTGTTTAAAAAGCATATCCAATTCATAGTGAGTTTGTTAAGGAACTACACAATGATATGTTATTCTGAGAGGGCGGCAGCATTATCTCCCTACAGAGACAACGTTGACCAGTAGATGAAGGTATGAATGTGTCCGTTGAAGCTTTTGGCTGAGATTTAAACGTTTTAATCTGACTTCTTTTTAAACCGTAGTCTTGTAAAAGCGATATTCATTGCTATCGGGATGTTAAGAGCATTCCATGGAATATAACAAAAAGTGTATCTCGAGCCGGTTTCTCAAACTTACCTACCCCACCTTTAACTGTCAAGTGGGAAATAAGTATTTTTTGTAGGAAGTTTTTGTGTTTCTCTTATTATCTTACGATACTGTTATGTTTGGCTGTGAATAAGAAAATATGAAGGACAGACCATCTATTTCTATTTATTTAGTTTTTTTAGAAAGGGGCCGGTCATATAAGATTATTTTCTTCTCCCTGCTCCTTTTCGGTCGATGGTGTGTTTTATAGAGACGTGTTTTGTAAACAATTGTTATACATTAAGTTGTGCATACCATAAACGGAACAAATACAAATACAAATGAAATGTTACCCTATACGTTTTTGCGGGCTAGATACATGATATCGCCCTTAAAGCTAAAGCTGGACATCACCAGCTCGACTGCAATGCTTATCATTTGATGATCTACTTGGAAGTCATGGAAATAAAGAGACAGAATTGTTCTTGTTTTGTGGTCTGCAGCTATATTTTGAGTAACTTTCGTGAGGTTACAGGGATGTAATCTTCGTCCAATTGACTGAAACTGGATAGAGCTGCTGCCTCTAGCCTGAATAAGATACTCCCCAGGTAGAAAGCCGGACATGCTTACAATTTCAATTAAAAATACAGAGACAAACACACTGTTTTTGCTTGTGTAAAAGCTGAAAAAAAGACACCACCCTGTACACTTTGTAAATGCTTGGCCTTGCTATTTGTAAAGCCGGATGCACATGGCTTCAGCATGTGGAATTAACAATTGAAGGGCTTGCAATCCCTGTTCACAGGAGTGATTTAGCGTAAACTGTTTTGGTTGGTGCGGAGTGTCAATTGAGCCAAGTTAATGTTTAGTTTTGGCGTAATGTAATGTCCTAGTATCTAACCTGGTGGTCATTTATTCAGCCATCAAGTGCTGTGACCCTCAACACTGTGTGTGTGTGTGTTAGCTGTGTGTAATGATTAGCTGTGTGAATGTGGGAAGTCATGTTTATTAATGCTGGAGCAAACCATTCACATTCTGACTGACACTCATTAACTCCATTTGGACTAATGAGTAACTGATTAACATGAACCATTCTGAACATGAACCACCAGCGGCTCGCTAAGGAGGGGGTGGGTGGGCTGCGAGCGAAACCTAGAGCCATAATTGCTGTCTAATCTTTGATGGATGAATGAATGGATTCCCGTGCATACTGTTGAATGCTTCAGAATAACAAACAGTAGAAACACAGCCGGTGACAGTGAACGCCTCGAGCCTCTGGGTGCATGCTGGTACATCACTTTGGTACAAACTACACGGTGCTTATCGTGCACAACATGGGTTTATCTCTTCATCCTTTGTTAGCTAGTTTGTGATTTATTTTATTTTCATTGCTTTCATTTTTAGACTGTTACAAAAGTGCATTAAGAATATCACACTCTGGTAGGGTTAATGAATAGCAACACATTGGATATATGGACCAATTTACAAAAGAATATCAAAAGATGCATGTGTGTGTTTTCTAAACAAATGAAAGGATTACTCTGTGGAAAATGTAGATATTTAAATAGATTTTTAACCGGAACCATCCCACACTTCCAAAGAGGTATAACACTTTAGTAATTTGGTTGTAAAAACGAATACACTTCTACTCGTGAAACATCAATTAAACCTCAGTTCGGCCTGTGTTGATGTCAAGCAAGAAAAAAACACAAAACTACCTGAGTATGCATTGGCAAGCTTCTTTATCCATTTATAATTCCAAATGTTGGATAAGTCGGAGGTTTAACATTCTGTGTGTAAGTATATTTTGATGTGTTACTCGGCGGTGAATGGCAACTCACAATATGCATATTTCCAAGTCCTATAGAAATATTTTGAAATTGAAATAAATCCATATATAGTTATTTTGGAGTGCAATCAAAAGAGTGATGGTGCTGACGTTTTGCAGCCCAACCCGCAAAACAAGGTTTTTCTTTTTGGTGCAAAGACCTTTGAAGTCCCTGGACTATCTTTCTGAGCTCTCTTTCGGATGATGCAGTTTATAGGGACATTGAACATTTGAGTAGTCATTCCTGCTGCTCCATATGAAGCCATTTATTAATATGTTAGAGATTTAATATACACTCTGCTGCTTTGTGATGAACTTAGTGCTCCTGTCACCACTGTGAGCTTCAAGGCCTGGAGCCAGTCATCAATCCAGGCAGGAAGGCAGGGCTTCACTCTGGCAGGCACCCCCAGTTGCCCCCCCCCCCCCACACACAGGCCCACTCACAATATACATTTCTGGCTCATAAAAGGGCAAGCCAAAAAAACGGTCTCCTCTGGAAAATAAAATAAATCCATTTGTCTTTATTTGGTTTGGTGTGACTGAATGGAGCCTTTGGGTCTTTGAACATCTATTTGTTTGTGTGTGTGTGTGTGTGTGTGGGGGAGGGATATGAACACTTGGGTGTATGTGTGATATGTGCGTGACATGCTGACCCCCCCCCCCCCCCCCCCCCCCCCCCCCCCCCCCCCCCTTCCCCCCATAGCAGCCCTCCTGTGTGCCTCACATCCATCAGAATATAATAACTCATCAGTACCATGGCACACTCGCTCAGACATGTTTACGTGGACTCTGGAGTGGAACGAGCATGTGAGCGTGCACACACACAAACACACGTGTGTTTACTGCATATTTAACACTCGTTAGGTCCTCGTTTGTCATTTCAAGTTTGTGATGCACATGGACACTAACTCAAGACTAACCCAAACTTTAAAGCTGCTCTGAAGGGGACTGTTTTTCGTCTTGGACCTGCCTCTTAACTTCCTCTTTCCTCTCTCCCCTCCATTAAAGGGGATGGAGACCATGCACCACAATATCTATTTCAATACCTTTTCAATGCTCCCACTCAAAATGTGTACTCGAGGGTAAAAGTACATCAACTGTACAATGATCAGACATTTTGCATGTTGTTCCTCACACTTTTGCACAATTACCATCACATATTTTATTTGTTTCACTTTCTATGTGTAGTCTTAAGACTGATGAGCTGCTTAGAAAACATTTTAATTCATGTCGTTTTAATTTTAACCAAAGACTAATACGTGTATTTACTTTGACTCAGTTTGACTGCTTAGCTCAAGAAAAACTAACAGCTGTTGACTAACATTTGAAAATCAGTCAGTTGGGCTTTTGACTGCTCTGGTCACTTTACATGCACACATAATTGTAGGTGTGCACATTCTTGCTAAAAAAACCTCACTATGCCTGATTTCTGTGTGTGTGTGCATGTGTTCTTTAAAAGAGCACAGAGGGACGGACATTAAGGCCCACATGGGATAATGATGAACATCTAGTCAAGCTTTTCAAACGATTACCTAAAGGATGTTGTTTAAAACAGCATTTCAGGAGGTATATTGGTAGATTAGAATACTACTGTGGCTTTTTGCACTTTATCATATTTATTTAATGGTCCTTTGTGGCTAACCCCACCCTCCAGCTACTTAAACATGCCATAAAAGTATTTGGTAACACTGTTTGCAAGTTGTTGTACAGTAAAATGGGCCACTCCTTTTTCCACTTTCCCTTTGTCCTTTCCTGTCCTTCATTTGTCCGTTTTCAATAGTCCTCCCTCTCTTACCTGCACCAGTTGTGCTGAATGTGATGCATGTGAAGTGATACCTGCACACATCCACACTGAATGGGCTGACTCGGCATGTGAGTGAGTGATTTGGCTCAGTGGCTGCCTGCCCGCCTAACTGCTGCCTGCAGTGAGTGAGAGAGAGAGAGTTAGTGTGTGAGTGTGTGTGCGCGTATGTCTGCATCTCTGGGGGCTCCTGTGATGACGCACATGGTGACGGGGGGAATGCTGGGGGCGGAGAGGGGGGGGTGGGTGAGGGAGGGGAGGCGCAGTGGACTCGCTAAGCTCTTTGTTTCTGCTGCACCTCGAATTGCCACGCCAGTGCTCACACACACTCCCCTCTTTCACCGGGGGATCACGCTGCTGCGGGTACAGTACATCATGTGCTTGTGTGTTTTGTCTTCAAAGACATCACCTTCCTACAGCTTAAAGAGGTGGTGACATCAGACTGTTCTGATTTTCTGGAATATCTTTTTACATTACATGTCACTTGTTAGACGCTTTTATCCAAAGCGACTTACATACTCAATACTGTGGACAATCCCCACAGGAGCAATTTGGGGTGAAGTGTCTTGGGACACAACGACATGCTGACTGCAGTGGGCTTTGAACCTGTGCTCCCCTTATCCGAACACCAACGCACTAGTCCACTGCGCCACAGCCTCCACACAGAATAAAGCTAGTTTAAAATTGTATAATTTTAAATTCACAAAAACACACTGGCATGCATGCAAATAAACATTGACATACGCCCCATCTCGTATATCTTGTTGCACACAAGTGAACAAAATATATAAAGATACAGTTTAGAAGTTACTTGATAACTAAGAGAATGGGAGGACAGCATGCGTTGTGTGTGTGTGTGTGTACCGTTGTGTGTGTGTGTGTGCATGTCAGTCCCAGTGCCTTGGTCAAGGACATGTTACTTATGGAAATGTACTCAGTGTTCAGAGGAAGGTGTTAACATGTGCGCTGGACTCAATGAGGCTCTTTGTCCATCCCTCCCAACCCGCTCCATTCAACCTTACTCCCATCCTAACCCCCCTTTTCTCTCTCTCTTTCTTGTTAGAGCTCAAACCCTGACCAAATGTCCTTTCTGTGCGCGTGTGTGTGTGTGTGTGTGTGTGTTACAGATTACCTGACGTGTGGGTGAATGAAACGGAGCGGTCGCAGCTGAAGACTAAAGTGGTGCACTTATCCCAGTTACCGCAGGATGCTGCCATGCTGCTAGACCAAAACATCTATAGGTGAGTGTGTGTGTGTGAGTGAGTGATGCCACCAGTGGCCTTTTATACACATACTGCTGTAGATCTAAATGCATGTTGCCCAGGTGTAAATATTATGTAATGCTCAGTAGGTTTCATTGTGTGAAGCATTCAAGGACCACAACAAAGTGTTTTTGAATGCTCATCCTCTGCCCTCCACGTGTGTGTGCGTGTGTGTGCGTGTGTGCGTGTGTGTGTGTGTGTGTGTGTGTGTGTCATCCTAAGACTTTGTTCCACCAGATGGCACCAACTCCTGATTTAAAAAATGAGGACAGAAAAGACAAATGCATAAAAAAAGAAACTTGGTTTGTGTGAAGGCACACATTTCAAACTGTAAAACTGATCTAGGTTCATTGCTCAATTTAATGCTTATTTTACTGGTGTAAAAAAACTCTAAATGCTATATTATGAAAACAAATGATTTATTTAGGGAAGCGAAGATATCATCCGATTAACAGATTAAGGAGGAAAAATCACTTCTTGCTTGCATGCAACTGTAACTTCATAGCTTATATTTATCTCCGTCTTCAATTGCATCACGTTCCACTAAACATTAACTGTTATTTGAATCTTGTGCAGACTGGGTTCATTCATCACTGAGATGAACAAAACAAGTTGGGTTTATGACACGCCATAAAAAGCTGAAAATGAATCCTGAAAGAGGAACAATGTGCCTAAAATAACAGAGTGGTCATCTTACCGGAGATATATGGCTCATGAGTGCACTGATCAGCACACAGGCTGGCTGATTTTAATTAGACCTGAAGGCTCAGTAACTGCAGGGGCTGCTGCTGGACTCTGGTTTCACAGTTGAATATAACCGTCAGCACTCAGCCAGTTTATGTCAAGGTTGTCCTAATGCATGAAATCCCTAAACAAATGAGGTGGTTGGTGCCTGTGGCAGTAAGCGTAGCAGGGGATTTGAACCCCTCTGCACGTGAATGGGATGGCAGGAAGACACTGACGTAGTGGCAGTCCAGGATTATATTATTTCAACAATGTTTCCATGTAGAGGTTACTGCACTTTATCACAAGTCCTACTGCACTGAAATCAGCTCAAACACATGATCCCATCGTACAAAGTGAGATGTTTTTGCAAAGTGGCCTCACATACTTTTTTCTGTCTTTTCAGAGGACTTCCTCAAAAGCGACTGAAACACAGGTAAGCTTCAACAGTTGAACATGTGATAACAAATATATTAAAATATACCTAGGGACTTATTTAGATACGATATACAGGGTTCATACAGTCATTAAAAACCTGGAAAAGTCATGGAAATGCAAATTCTAGGCCCTGGAAAAGTTATGGAAAACAATATTTCTCCCAAAGTTTTGGAAGAGTCATGAAAATGTAACTAAAGTTGCATCAAATATAATTTTTATTTTTTCTAATCGCCGAAATAGTAATACTATAATGATCATAAATACTGTAAGTTATTTGTTTTACAACATGTTTCATATGCAGACCTTATTTTCCTGTTCCGTGTTCTAATAAACAATTTTCAGTGGTACCGCTGAGAAAGAGTCATTTTCTTTGGTCATGGAACATTTGGTAAAGGTCATGGAGAAGTCATGGAAAATCATTGGTGAAAAAGTGTATGAACCCTGGATATATCTACACACAAAATACACAATGGAGTGTGTGTGACTCAAACACACCATTATTACATCTTGGTAATCAATAACAGTAAGTGCACAATGTTTTTTCATGGTATTATTGAAGGAAACGCATAATGCTTTGTGTAGACATACTTTATTGTATTTCTGAGTATAATAAGTGTAATGCAAATATTGTAATTGTTTTGCATTGCAGTTCCAAACTGAAAAACGTATAATGCGCGTATTAGAGTAAATCAAGCGATTTTGCCTTTGGTATATTCCGTTATGAGTTAAATATTCTTTTAGTTCAATGTATTTTAAATAACTGCAGTATTTGCAAAGTTTGTGGCTTTGCAAATACTGTGTCTTTATTCTCAGATACAGAACGGATAGGCTGATGAATAAAAGATAGTCGTGCGGTGCATTAATGTCACATCATCAATGCCTTTTATCACCACCTGCACACAGCTTTTGAAGTTCACAGTAACGTTGTTCTGTGTATGCAGACAACACAGAGCCGCTGCCTTATTCCTGCTTTGTATCTCAACTGCTATTTCTCTATACTGTAGTATTGAAAACACTTAAAATGTCCATAATCTTTGTGCCATAATGGAGCTCAAACAAGGCTTTTGCCTCGATGGCATGGTAATGTTCGTGCCTTCACAGTTTTCCTCGGGGCTCCGGCCCTCCTGTGGTGAAACATCATCGTAGTTGATTACTTATCGCCCACAATTTCACAGTTCCTGTGAACCGTGAAGCCAGTTAATTGGGAGCCACGACCCTTGGCATTCCTTCGTCTCACTCCAATATCAGGTCATATTTGGCCGTTGTTCATTGTTCCAATAATTGACCTCAGTAGTTCCGTCCAGCAAAAGCTCCGTACACACTGTAATGTGTCTGTGAAGGAAGTCTGTCTGAACATCCAGGATAAAGCTTGTTTTTCATGCTGTAATCTCTCTCATGACACACTGAGAACAACTCCTTCTCTCCCTCTCTGTGTCCTTCTCTCCTCTCTGTGTCCTTCTCTCCCTCTCTGTGTCCTTCTCTCCTCTCTGTGCTCAGCCTTTAGAGAGTCATCTGTGGACTCCATACTTAAGGGGAAACGCTTGTTCATAGGAGGTTTGTCTATATGGGATGGGACGCTCTTCATCTGTGTCTACTCAACGGGGGGATTGAAGTGGCGATAAAAGGAAATGAAACTTGGCCGTGCTGCATTTTTTTCTCTCTTCACTTTAGTATATCTGAACTGTTGTTCAAGCGTGGCGGAAAACGGGACTTTTACAGTTTTGTTTTTTTACTCTTTTTCATCAAAAATGTAAAAGAATGTCTTTTTTTTTTTAACAAACACCAAACTGAAAATGTTCTTAATACCCAAAAGTATACAAACTGTTGTGTGTAACTTTGTCAGAAAAGACAGCATATTTTATAACTGTTTTTGTGTAAAATATTTATGCAGATTTATAACTTATTTTTATATCATGAAAATGCTGGTGTTCTGTGGATTTTTGTGAAGGTTTTGCTGAAACCGTATTTACTGTGATAATATATGCTAACTGTCACTTGTAGGGGTATTATAGCACTTTCTACTTTAAATAACATTGTATATGACAGAAGTCTTAACTGATTATCCTATTTATTCTTCCTACAGTACTTTTACCTGTGTGTATGACAACAAAGAGTGATGTTGTGTTAGTCATGTCAGACATGACTCTTAATCTCACCCAGTCTGCAGAGAGAGCATAGAAATGACTCGGCACTCAAAGGGTAAATCACCTCTGCTTCCCAAGATAACATGTACATAATTCATATCATATTTAAGCACTCAAAGGTTATTGTTAAAATAAATGTGTTTTTTATATATATATGTTGTCCCTGTTTGGAATGGATATTCTCTGTTTGTAATAAAATGTGGGCAAATGATGTTGAAGCACATTGTTTCTACACATGAGGGTGCAAGGTGTTTGAATGGCAGGAAGGGTTCATGCATCCATTGTGTTATGAATATGAGTTCCGTATGTGTGCATTAAGCGGATTGGCTGAGTTATTTGGCGTCCATTAGCGGAGCAGCTTTGGGAGCATGCTGTGGAGGAGCTAATGACGGGCCGGCGGGGCAGGACCCTTGCTGGCCTCAGCTGTTACTTAACATGCCTGCAGAGAAAAGTGAGTTCAGAGAGAGGTCCTCTACAACATGGCTGTCCTGTTCTTTAATATCTCATGCACTCACACATGCAAAATTCATGGGGAGTTGGGACTCCAGCTTGTGATAAAATGAGGCCTTCAAGTGCTATTCCATTATTTTGTGACGCCAAGCACTAAAAACTGTTGGCACCCCGTTGGTTTGTGTGCTTTGTTTTATGTCCTTCTCATATCTGCACTGGGCCGAGGCAGCTCGCACAACTGTTTTGGGTAAATTGAAAAGAGATGAGTCCAAGATATGCAGCCACACACATTTTGGGCTCATTACAATAACGCCTGACTTGCATTTCAGTAAATTGCCAATATGTTCAAATGTAAACAAGTGCATCTGGTCCAACTTTCATATGTTAAAGTGTATTTTTGATGCTCTTATTTGTCCCTCAAAAAACGTTAATACTCAAACCTTAGGCAAAATAATGTGTCAGACATAGGTTTATTAGTTTCACGTTGCAAACACATTACACTTGACAAACTGTATAGGTTTTAGTAAGTCCTGTTTATTCTATTATAAAATCCTGAAACTGCCATCAACAATCACTTATTATCTTATCACAGATTTAAAGCTGTCGCTGAGCAGGAAGCTCTCATGATAAGTGTGCACTGTGAGATTAGAGTGTGCACATTTTTGTACAATATATCAGTTGCTTGTGACTTCTATTGTAAGACAGTTGAATAGACCTTCAGTTTCTTGTATCGGTGAGTAAATAACCCTGCAGACCCTGTGGCTCTGACAAAAGTTGGAGTCAAGGTTACAAACAGGAAGTGGGCCAAATCAGGAATGCTTTTTCCCAAAGTGATCAATATTACTCGTTTTTTTTAAATGTTGTATACACTGTGATTTACTCTGTGCTCTTTCTTGAGATATGTACATGTTCCTTTACTTCAGTGAATTGCCCTTCCACTTTCATTACCAATTTGTTTTGTATTGCTGTCATTTGGCTTTTAGTAAGTCTAGCAAAGTGTTTGAGTTTTTGCTTTTGTTACTTCGAGATTCTTACTATGACCAACACATCCATGAGTACCCAATCAAACCAACCGACATTGATTTTCTTTTGTACTTACCGTAACTTTGACCCGGAAACCTTGACTTTACTAAACATCATGTAAATCACATTATTAATCGTATAACATCCAACTTTGGAAGATTTATAATATCTGCCCCTGCATTGAGCCTACATGTTTCTGTATTGTCTCATTTCAAGGCTTTTCTTCACATGACCATTTTTTAATGAAACACTGGCACTTTGTGGAGGTTTGTTTGAACCCTGACTCCAGCAGTGACATCAGTTGGCACAGGAATAATGATTGATAGAAAGTCTGGCGGGCTGGCAGAGCTCTGCCTGCAGAACCTGATCCAGCCTCAGCCTGTCTGTGGAGGAGACGCTGGGATGTTACCCTGAAGTGACGCCTGTTCACTCATCTCTGAGGTGAATTTCCCTCCTTCAGCTTCTCTTCCTCCAAGTGTGATGCAAATCCCTTTTTGTCTCTCCACGTTAGGAAATCCCAGATGAAAAAGTGTTTCTTGTTTTGGGTTCATCACAGCATGTTTGCATGGGAGTTAAATGACATTCTTCAACATTGCTCTGCTTCAGTAATTGAAGCACATTGTGTACTGTGACATGTGAAACTCATTAAGCCGGTCCATTTGTCATGTGTGACAGTGTGTGCAAGTGTTGTCTGTTGGTTTGGTGCTACGACTGCTCAAACCTGGAACTCTTCCATCTGCTGCAGATCTTCTTACTCTTGTTTCTGAATCACCCATCTGAGTTTGTCATTGTGCTCAAAATCGTCCTTTTTGCTTTGGCTGCATGCACCGTTGTCTCGGTGAAGAAGGAAGGTATTACATCAAGAACAAAAGCGATGAGCTGCTGCGCTAAATCCTGAATTGGAATTGTTTTTCCCCGCTACTTTGGATATTTCAAAGAAGAAAATCCTAGAAACTTGTTTTTTGGTCAACGTGAAGACTTCAGTTTGGTAGGGCTTTATGATTGATAATGTAAAGGCTATTAATGAATAAGAATAGATGCCTTTCTCCTTTGACTTATCGTTATGACGGAAATGTTGCTTCCACAATGTTCAAAACAATGGCCCTATCTGCAGTAAGATCGTTTCCCTTGCTTTCACTATGCAATTCTGTGTGCCTTTTAAGGATAATTGCCCTATTTTGGCAACACTTAAGTTGTGCATATACTTATAAAGGTAATAAAATGATAACACATGGGCTCTGTAGTCCAAACTAGGAAATCAAACTCTTTATTGCTCCCAAATTGTCAACAGCAGTACATTACAGAGCACTCCTTCCCTTCTTAACTTTCACTATAAAAGCCAAGACTTATACACTGCCTCACTGCTAGCTAGAGAGCATTTCTCCAAGAGGCAGTTCAACCAAATGTCTTACAGTCGATCTCTCCAGGTAGCGGAAGTTGGAACAATCAAAGTTTTGTGAAAACTGAGTAGGTAACGAACGTGAAAATTGAGATTTATAAAAAATACTGGATGTTTAACTCTCAGTGCTTTTATCATAGCACTGAGACTTGGGTGTATATTTCAAATTGTCATCCTTATGGTTGGTTCTTGCTTTGGACACGGGCTGCTATGGCCATTTTGTAATATGTAATCACGGTCTTTGTTTGTTTGGAAACAAATGCAGTTTGTCCTACGTGAGGTAGCTCTGACGAAACAAGGAAAGGGATCACATTTTCGGCACCAAAAAATAGATCATCAGACTCAGGAGAAATGTTTTCGCATTTCTTACTCACTGGCTGCATACTAACATACAACAGTAGCCTAATAATCAACAGCATCTGGCTTTGGAAAGAGTAATTAAAAAAAATGGTAGAACCAGAGAAATCTAGTACATAAACAAGACCGTTTCACATGCATCACTGGCAGGACGACCCATAAAAGGAATGAATGCAGGGACCCGGAGCAAGTATACACATGGTGCGTGTCTAGAAGAGAGAAGACATGGGCATATCAGCTGCAAGACTATTCGTAAACTCCCCAACTCTTCCTTTGTGGATGTCGTTTTAATTGGGTTTCTGTCATGTTTCTGACTCTTCTGCTACAGCAAAAAGCCCTAATGTTTTTTTTATTGAGAGGCCTCTCTATCTCAGTGTTTTCCTTCTAGTCCATTTGAGATGCTGCTACTCTGTGTTGTGACATAACTTTCCTTCCATAGATTTGTCTCCTTGTATTATTCACTCTGTTATTCATTTGTTTAAGCATTGTACACAAATATATTTTGACAGCGTTTGACTCTTCTATTAGTGCAGACTGCATGGAGAAGCGGTCAATAATCTATCCTTAAGTGGCCCTGACTGCTGACCTCTCCTGTCAACACACGGACCTGATCCTGTCTAAACATCTTCCAGCTGGGGAAGCCAGGCTGTCCTTCGTGGTGGTCTCTGGGTTACAGTGCGGGCTATCCCTTCCTTTCAGTTTTCAGTCTTAGATTTTGTGAAGCTCAGGATTGTTTTCTGTCATCAGCATGGAGCAATTTGACCAAATGAAGGTGGGAGGAACTGTTGCTGCGTGTCAGGTCACAAGTCATTTTAAAAGTCTGATGCTAACTTGTTATAATATGACTGTTTGTGCCATGGCTTAAGGTCATCAGCGTGGTACTTATTTTCAGCGGAAGTGATGCCCTGGAAGTGTGTTTGTACAGGGCGCTGTATGAGCAAAATATATTTTCAGCATACTTATCGAACAGATAAAAGTATGACTAAATATTTACAGATTTTTGACAAAGTGCATTGGATTATAATGAAAGGGTGTAGGTAGCTGTTTTTGAACTTGTGAGTAGGAAGGCTAACTGTTACCTTCTGCGTCAAGTCTTTGATAAGTTAGGCTAATCGCTTCCTGTTTTAAGATGTATACTTTACACTGGGACAGAGTTTCCTATATAACTTGCGAAAAGCAAATGATTAAGCATAGGCTATTACACAAAATATAAATGAAACCTGATTGTCAGTATCCTTATACAGACTGTCCACTCCCATAGAAGCGCATCGTTGCTCCCTCAGTGCAATCAGTCCAATAGACACAATCATCACGCAAATATAGCATCACCACCTTTTGAAGACAGTGTTTAGTGCCTTGCCTTGTTTAGGGGTTATTACGGTTGAAATACAAGCAATGGGAAGGCCTGCATTCATGAGGTAATGTCAAGCACTTTCTTTGTGCTCGCCCCAGTCTCATTCACATGAATGCCCAAAGGGCCTGGGTTTTGGCCAAAGGGCATTCGACAGTGTGGCAAAAACAAATCCAGTGTCACGCTCCCTCTCCACTCTCCCATCAGGCTGAACAATAGTACCAGCTTTTATTAATAGACGATAGTATTTCATCAGATTCTCAGTGTCATCAGGAGTGGAGGAAAAACAGCAACACTAGGGAGTGAAAGAAACGGTATCTGTGATTGCAGCATTATGTGTTTCCTATTTCAGATGGAAATACTGTGCTGTGTTTTGATTTGTTGTCTTCATATATCAGACTGTATCTTTTTTTATGTTTGTTTTCTGGTTCTGGTGGGATTAGATTCTGCAGAGAGATACAACTGTACAACCTCCAACTGCAAATCCTCATAAGACAAATAATCACCAATATAAACATAAACCAATTATGCTCCGCTTCCAGACTAACATTACTTTATGTTCCTGACCTCTGCTTATGATTTACGTCTCGTATATTTATTTATCCTCATTTATTTATATGTAAATCAGGTTTTTAAAGTAGTGTACTGAATACAATGACATGAGAATTCATTTTCGTCCTTCAGATTTATGTCAGTTTACAACAGAAAGTATACAATGTAGTGAAAGAATTACAGTTTAAACAAACGTTAGGAGCCTGTGTGGCTACAGTGCTTTATTTATCTTCAGCTTTGACCTAATCGTGACAGGTTGATGTGCTGATTCATGAGGGTCAAGGGAAGCGGATGGGATGATAGGGATTGCAGCATGCTGTGCTCTGATGACAGATGCAGAAATAAATGGATCGGCTGTTTCTGCTGTTCTGAACTCAGGCCTTGGGGAGAACCAATTAGTGAAGGCACATTAGCCATGCCTAGCATCAGCTTCCCTTCTACCTCATGTGAAATGGAGTAAGTCTCAATCCTTTAGGTATTATGCCATAAC